TCCCTCACTTGTCACAGTTTTGTTATATCAGCTAGAAGACATATTGTTTGAAGGCCAGAAAGATTATCAACTCAATTTAAAAGAGCTGGGTATTGGGAAGCATGTCATATAGAGTTTTGTTTCCATATAACCAGATTAACATATTGAAGCTAACACTACTGAATGCCCAAAAGAAATTCTAAATTATTTATTTTTTTCTTGTAGTTAAAAACCTGTTTACTTATTTTATCTTTTTAAAAAATAAGGCAATTTATTTACGAAGATCAAAACAACACTAAAAGATATACATTGAGAAGTCTCCTCTCAACTGGCCTGTTCCTTCTTGTCCATAATGGATAACCCGTCTTTTATTTCGTTTTTAATTCTTCCAGTATTTCCTCATGCAAACAGGGTCAAATATATATACATATGTATATTTATTTATAGATGTACTTATATACATCTATATATACTCTTCATTTTATTTAACTTAATACACCCTGAAGATTATACTTTAAGAGCTTCTCTCTCCTCCCTCCCTCCACATTTTGGATAGTTCTTTCAGTAGCAAATCTTGTACAATCTTATTGAAGAATATAGTATTTTACTATTTTTCAATGATTCAGTGAACATTCTCAGTATAGTCTTATTAGAGAACGTGATTTAAAAAATTAGGAAGAGGTACCTGAGTTGTATAGCTCTGTGTATTCTTGCCACCTCTTCTAAATATCTTCTGCTTCTATTAGGTCCATACCATTTCTGTCCTTTATTGTGCCCAGCTTTGCTTGAAATGTTCCCTTGGTACCTAGAATTTTTTTGAAGAGATCTCTAGTCCTTCCCATTCTATTGTTTTCCTCTATTTCTTTGCACTGATCACTGAGAAAGGCTTTCTTATCTCTCCTTGCTATTCTTTGGAACTCTGCATTCAAATGGGAATATCTTTCCTTTTCTCCTTTGCCTTTCACTTCTTTTCTCAGCTATTTGTAACGCCTCCTCAGACAACCATTTGCCTTTTTGCACTTCTTTTTCTTGGGGACGGTCTTGATCCCTGTCTCCTGTACAATGTCACGAACCTCCATTCATAGTTCTTCAGGTACTCTGTCTATCAGATCTAATCCCTTGAATCTATTTCTCACTTCCACTGTATAATCATAAGGGATTTGATTTAGGTCATACCTGAATGGTCAAGTGATTTTCCCTCCTTTCTTCAATTTAAGTCTGGATTTGGCAATAAGAAGTTCGTGATCTGAGCCACAGTCAGCTCCCGGTCTTGTTTTTGCTGACTGGATAGAGCTTCTCCATCTTTGGCTGCAAAGAACATGATCAATCTGATTTTGGTATTGACCATCTGGTGATGTCCATGTGTAGAGTCTTCTTTTGTGTTGTTGGAAGAGGGTGTTTGCTATGACCAGTGCATTCTCTAGGCAAAACTCTATCAGCCTTTGCCCTGCTTCAATCTGTACTCCGAGGCCAAGTTTGCCTGTTATTCTAGGTATTTCTTGACTTATTACTTTTGCATTCCAGTCCCCTTAATGAAAAGGACATCTTTTTTGGGTGTTAGGACTAGGTCTTGTAGGTCTTCACAGAACCGTTTAACTTCAGCTTCGTCAGCATTACTGGTTGGGGCGTAGACTTGGATTACTGTGACACTTAATGGTTTGCCTTGGAAACGAACAGAGATCATTCTGTCATTTTTGAGACTGCATCCAAGTACTGCATTTCACACTCTTGTTGACTATGATGGCTACTCCATTTCTTCTAAGATCCTGGAATCTTGCCCACAGTAGTAGATGGAATGGTCATCTGAGTTAAATTCATCCATTCCTGTCTATTTTAATTTGCTGATTCCTAAAATGTTGATGTTCACTCTTGCCAACTCCTGTCTGACCACTTCCAATTTGCCTTGATTCATGGACCTAACGTTCCAGGTTCCTACTGCTCTTTAAAGCATTGGACTTCACTTCCACTGCCAGTCACATCCACAACTGGGTGTTGTTTTTGCTTTGGCTCCATCTCTTCATTCTTTCTGGAGTTATTTCTCCACTGATTTCCAGTAGCATACTGGGCACCTACTGACCTGGGGAGTTCATCTTTGAGTGTCCTATCTTTTTGCCTTTTCATACTGTTCATGGGGTTCTCAAGGCATGAATACTGAGAAATCTGTATGCAAGTCAGGAAGCAACAGTTAGAATTGGACATGGAACAACACACTGGTTCCAAATATGAAAAGGAGTACGTCAAGGCTGTAAATTGTCACCCTGGTTATTTAACTTATATATGCAGAGTACATCATAAGAAATGCTGCGCTGGATGAAGCACAAGCTGGAATCAAGACTGCCGGGAGAAATATCAATAACCTCAGATATGCAGATGACACCAGCCTTATGGCAGAAAGCATAGAAGAACTAAGGAGCCTCTTGATGAAAGTGAAAGAGGAGAGTGAAAAAGTTGGTTTAAAGCTCAACATTCAGAAAACTAAGATCATGGCATCCGATCCCATCACTTCATGGCAAATAGATGGGGGAACAATGGAAACAGTGGCTCACTTTATTTTCTTGGGCTCCAAAATCACTGTAGGCAGTGGCTGCAGCCATGAAATTAAAAAGATACTTGCTCCTTGGAAGGAAAGTTATGACAAACTTAGACAGCATATTAAAAAGCAGAGATATTACTTTACCAACAAAGGTCCATCTAGTCAAAGCTATGGTTTTTCCAGTAGTCATGTATGGATGTGAGAGTTGGACTATAAAGAAAGCTGAGCACCAAAGAATTGATGATTCTGAACTGTGGTTTTGGAGAAGACTCTTGAGTCCCTTGGACTATAAGGAGATCCAACCAGTCCATCCTAAAGTAAATCAGTCCTGAATATTCACTGGAAGGACTGATGCTGAAGCTGAAACGCCAATACTTTGGCCACCTGATGTGAAGAGTTGACTCATTGGAAAAGACCCTGATGCTGGGAAATATTGAAGTCAGGAGGAGAAGGGGATGACAGAGGATGAGATGGTTGGATGGTATCACCAACTCAATGGACATGAGTTTGAGTAAACTATGGGAGCTGGTGATGGACAGGGAGGCCTGGTGTGATGCAGTCCATGGGGCTGCAAAGAGTTGAACATGACTAAGCGACTGAACTGAACTGACCTGACCTGAACCTGAGTTGTAGGAGAAGATACCGTCCCCTCACTGTTGCTGCTCCTTTTAAGACTTTCTTTAGTTTTTGACTCCATTTTTATTACCCTTCCTTTCTCTTTCATTTTCATTACACATCTGATATCAACAAATATGGACTACTGATTCACTCACCAAATATTCATTATAGGCCTTCCACTATTATTACTGTTACTCATATTGGTTGCTAACATTACTTGAGCACTCATTATGAATCAGTTATTCTACTAGCTGCTTTCCTGCATTATCACATTTAATTCTCTGTGAAGTCTTTTTTAAAGTTTCCATTGTATACTTGAGGAAAATGAGGGTCAGAGACGTTGATTCAATTGCTGCTATTAACTGTCAAATATTGAACTCAAGTCTCTTTTACTCACAAAACATATGCTATTTGTTATTATTAAAAATTTTAATTTATTTCCCTTAGCTTTACCTGAGGTACGATGGATAAATAAAAACTGTATATATTTAGGTTGGACAACATGATTCTTTTTAAAGGTTACAGTGGGAGGATTTAATATACATATACGTTGTGAAATGATTACCACAATTAACACACCTACTACTCCACACTGCCAATTTTTTCTTTCTTCCTTTTTTTTTTGCAGTAAGAATACTCAAGATCTGCTCTTTTAGCAAATTTCAAATATACAATACAGTACTATTAACTCAAAACATATGCTATTAAATAATGTACCACAGAAAGAGCCAGACATATTTGGAGAATTTCAACTAGCTGAGGATGATTATGGCAAAGGGCGTGAGGGAGGAAGGACTAGGCAAGAGGTCATGCTGCAGAAGGCAGGATTTTAGATCACAGATTTAGTACGCCCTCATCAAGATTTATCAGCTTTACTCTGAAGGGTACAGGTAACAACCATGGGGCTTTTAAGCAGGTAAATATATGATACAATCTGAATTTAAAAGGACATTTCTAGCAGAAGTGAGGACAGACTGGAAAGACCAAAACTGGGCTAGACTAAAGGTGGCAGACTAATTAAGTGTGCAGAGAACAGGTGACAGAGTGTGAACAAAATGGAGTTACTTGAAATCAAATATAGGTATTGAGCCTTTCCAAGTTTCATATAATTTAAAACTTTAAAAATCATTCAACAAGAGTAAATATGTCTGAGCCCCAATCACCTTTTTTTAATCTCCATTTGAACAAGCTGAAAAACTGTTCTTGACAGAAAGATTTCCAGTTTAATCAAATGAGAAGGTACACTATCACGAAATATTTAGAATTATGTATTTCTAAAATTGTATGTACTAAGAAAAATCTAAAAATGTATGAGAGTGATATTAAATGGAAAACTTACAGATTAAATTAAAAAAATAATAAACTTTTTTCTTTAGAATTGGGGCTTCAGGTATTGTCTAGTCAAATCCCTCCATTTTACAGCTAAGAAAACTAAAGGACAAAAGAAGGCATATTACTTGTCAAATATGCTTAGGGTGCCATTTAGGATTAGATCCCAAGTTTCCTGATTCCTTATTTAATGATTTTCCCATTTTCACGTGAAGTGGAAGACCTAGAAGTTTTAAAAGTTCTCCTGGCAAAATGGGGTAAGGGAGGAGTCAAGCAAGCTCATCGTAAATGTGGACCATATATTAATGCTTTATATAAGATCTCACTTAATCCTCACATCTACTTGACAAGGCAGGTATTATTCATATGACAGAGGGAAACAGAGAGCCTAGAACCTGCTAAAGGCCAAATGACTATCAGACATCAAAGCTCATCTCTCCATCACACTGCACTAATGCCAAAACAGATAAAAGTGTTTTCTTCCAATGTTTAAAAAAATACCAAGTTGTATTAATAAATTCAGAAATCATTAAACACTGACCTGTAACATGCACCTGGATACAACAACTTCAGGTACTTCAGGGAATTTTTGTCGCAGGTCATGCAAAACCTGAAAATCAATTTGGTGGCTTCCTTGGGCCATTCGTATATTGCCTGATCAGGACTATTTGTACAATAGGCAATTCTAGGCCTTAGTGGAAATAGTACTCATCTCTTCTGTCCAAGCATTTTCTGTGAAAGAAAGAAAAAAAAATTTTAATGAGAACTGTTATAGAATTAATATTATCATGGATTTAAAATTTCAGTACAAAAGGGTATGTGCTTTAGTATCTAACATTTAGTATAAATTATAAAAATATTTAGTCTTATAATGTTTCCAGTATAGTTATACTGTCTTTTCAGTTTATAACTACTGATGGCAAACTTTAAAATTTTCTAATTCCTATGTATTTGTGTATGCTTTATAATAGATGTGTCTAAAGGCATTCAAATAAGAAATTATCATCAAGTTCGTTTTAAAAGGGAAAAAATGAGTAACATTACTGATTTTTTTCTTAATTATCAGAGGACAGTCTAAAGTGAATAATCTTATTTATTCTACTAAAACTTTTTAAACTTTGGATCCTAAAAAAATTTGGTTCTACAAATAGCTTTGCATGCTTTATCTAAAAAATGATCTGTAGATCAAAAACATTTGATATTTTGTCTTAATTTTCAGATGTACTTAATCCTTAAATGTGTAATCAATTCATTCTCAGGGGCTTGGTAGCATTTTATTCCCTCTGTCTCTATTAAATCAGTATTTTAAAATATTAATGCTTGAGCCCCAACCCCAGAGGTTCTGATTTGATTGGCTGGGAGCAACATGAGCATATGGATTTTGATTGGCTGGAAGCAACATGAGCATATGGATTTTTAAAAGCTCCCCAAGTGATTCTAATGTATGGCCCAAGTTGAGAAATACCAAATTTATTTATATCCCTAATATTCTTAACATAAACCACGTTTAATCTTAAAGCCTCTTTGGGATATAAACAGCATATAAATATATTAAACCTATATATCATATGGAAATATTTAAAATCACACTATTTGCACAATAATTAAAATACAATTCATTTTAGAATAAATTTAACAATAAGACAATCTCTTTAAAACAAATTTCTTATCTGTAATATTTCTCTTTTCCGTAAGCTTAAATACAAGTCTATAAACTCCATGAATACAGAAATTGGTTTCTCATGTCCTTATTGCACACCTAGCACTCTGTAGACAGTTTTCAGCATAACAGTAGATATTAAAACACTTTTGAGTAAATTTAGTTATGAAAGAACTCCTGAATCCTCAATAGAATAAAAGCTCATTTAGATAGCATGTTTGGTAAAGATTTTCAAACTTTTTATCATCATTTGGTTTATTTTTCCCTAATTCTTTTGTCTGTGACTTCAGCTTAATTACATCTCCTAGGTAAAAGCACTACCAAACCAAATTATTTGCATTACAGATTTCCCAAATCTATTTCCAAAACACACACGCACAATATTTTAGCACCCAATGTAATATTTCTACAAATGGGTTGCAGGAGAAAAGAAAGAGTACTGGAAATTAGTAAATGATATTTAAATATAATATAAGGGACAGTAAACATGCTATAGCATTGCTGATCTTGAGAAATTCTCTCTGGACTTCACTCCAGCTATCAACTCATTTATCTGCCCACTCCCTCTTTCAGGCTAAACTCCTTGAAAGGATGGTTTATACTTTGTCTTCATTTCCTCCCTCATCACTTTAAAATCTACCAAGTCAGGTTTTCAAAGTTTTTCTCCACTGCAACTACTTATCAAAGTTGTCCAGGATCTTCAGATTGTTAAATTTAACAATCACTTCTCAGCCCTCATCTCACTAATCTCTCTTCAGTTTATAAACCAGTCAACCAGTCCCTCATTCTCCACACAATTTCTTCACTTGGCGTCTGAGATTTATACTCTTCTGGATTTCTACCCACCCACTGGCAGTTCCTTGTCAGTTCTGTCAGATCCTCCTCTGGACATCTAAACATCGGTGAGTTATGCAGTTCAGACCTAGGGTTTCTTTTCGATTACACCTACGTTCCTCGTCAAGGTAATCTCAACCAAACACACTACTTTAAACAGAGGCTTTGCAAATCTCTCTGTCCAACTCCAAGGGAGGTCTCTCTCCCTTGAGTTCCAGGCTACATGACCAGCTGCTTTCTTTACATCTACTTCTGGATATCTAAAATTCACTTCAAACTTAGTATGTCCAAAATTGAACTCTTAATTTCCCCCACCCAAACCAAATCTTTCCCAGTCTCTTTCATCTCCATATATGGTACCATCAGTCACTCAGTTGGTCCTTCTCACATGCCATATCTAATCCATCATCAAGTTCTGCTGGCTGTTATCTGCAAAAGAATTATTCTGAATCTGATCACATTTCCCCACTTCTATTACTGCTCTTATTCAAGCCGTGCTTACAGTTCACCTAGACTGCTACTGCTAAGGTCTCCGCCCTGCTTGACTCTTTGCTCCACCCCTACCTCTTACTCTACTGAACAGAGTGATCCTTGTGAAAAGTAAATCAGAACAATCATTTCCCCAGCACAAACTCCTGTAACACAAGACCCCTTTCTAACTACCGCCTGGGACTTCACCTCCTACCACTGTCTTTGCTCCCTCAGTTCCACGCTGATTCCCCTCACACTGGTTCTCTCTCAGAGAGAAGCTAACTTCATTCCTCCCTTGGGCTTTTAGACTTGTGGCCCTTTTGCTTGGAACCCTTTCCCCTCAGATATTTGCATGCCTCCCTCTCTCTCTCACACTTCACTAAGATCTCTGATCAGACTGCTTCCTTGACCAATCTTTCTACCTAAAATATTGCCACATTTCTCTCCTCTCCCTCCCTATCACATCTTCATACCTTGCTTTTACATCATAGCATTTTTATCAATACTGGCATATCTACCTACCTACCTACCTGCCTATCCTTAAAGCGTTAGCTCCACAGGATCAAGAACTTTGAAGTTTACAGCTGTATTCCCAGGACGTAGGTCCAAGATGTAACATTTGTTAAATGAAATAAAGGTTTTACTGTATAGTTTATTCATGTATTTTGCTTCTAAAATGCATTTCAAGTAATCTAGATTTGGAAATTATAATTTGAAGGAGAGGCAAATAAAGAAATCCTCAGTCTAATTCAGGACAACCTTTCTTATTTAAAAGAGGTTGAAAATAAATTTCAACTCATTCTATTATTAATACACATACAGAAATCTCTGAAGTTCTTTGAAAAAACTCTTATATGACTATCAAGTATACTAACAAGAAAATTGTTTAAACGCACAATTGTATTTTAGGGATTCCACTTCCTGAAATGGCAAAGTAGCTCCTACTGGACTAATGCTCTCACGAATAACTTCTGTAATTGGACAAAATATAAAGAGCGTGAAGGCAGAAACAGCAAAGTGGGAGTGGTGGCACTGCGGGTTGGGAGGAGGAGAGCAAGGCAGTAGTTGGAAGAAGTAGACAACATGGGGTGACTTTCCATTTTTCAAATGGTTTTTAGACAGAGAGCACATCCCAGTTGTTTTTGAGCAGCAAAAGCTTGCATAAACAAGTAAATCTTCAGTCTAATTCGCTTAATGAACCAAAGGACAGATTTTGGCAAGACCACAACAGCTGAAAACCTAGTGAGTAAATCACCGAAAGGAGAGAAACACCGAATTCTGTGTATAATATCTACACATATCTCTGGTTCCCAAACTATACAGACTTGAGATTCCAAGTTAAGGTTAAAGTAACAGAATTGAGGTTTCAGTTTGTAGTTTACGTTCAGCCAAGTTAACTGCCTACTAAAACAAACAAGCAAGCATGTAAACCACTAACCAAACATCAACACATTCTAAAGGAACACAATAGACTTAAGTCTCTACAATGTGTCATTCATAACATCCAAGTTATAATCTAAAATTATTACACATAAGAAACAGGAAAAACTGACCCATTGTCAAGAGAAAGGCAACTGAGGGAGACCAAGCCCAAGATGACCCAGATGCTAGAATTAGCACATAAGGATTTTAAAGCAGCTATTTTAACTATGTTCAGGAATGTAAGGGCCAATATGCTTGGATTTCTCAGTCAAGTAAAAAAAAAAAACCGAAACTATAAAAGAAATGCCAATTCAAGAAGTAAAAAATAAAATGTCTGAAATAAAATTCACTGGCTAGGTAATCACAAATTGGAAATGACAAAAGAGTCAGTGAACCTGAAGACACAGCAATAGAAATCATTAGAACCTGAAGGATGGAGGAAAAAAAAATGACTAAGGCAGGGAAACGAACCTACCTCAGGGACCTGTGAGAAAGAATCAGTAACTCTTAACACACCTGTAACTGGAATTCCAGAAGGAAAAGGGACAGAGAATGGGATAGAAAAAAGTATGTAATGACACAGTGTCTAAAAATTTCCCCAAGTTAGTAAAAGATCTAAATTTACACATCAAGAAGAACTTGACAGGCTCCCTGGCCATCTTGGAGGTTGCTCTTGGTTCAGAGCCATCCCACACCTGAAGCAGGAAGGTTGTGGTCACAAGGAAGACAATAAAGTTGCCTAAATCACTCAACTCTAGACTCTGTATCAACCCAAGATTCCAATTCCTTATGAAAAGTGGCAAGCACATGTTGCGGTACATGCAGGCTCTGAAAATGGTAAGACGACGCAATGTGAAACTGGTCATCCTCATCAACAACTGCCCAGGTTGAAGAAATCTGAAACAGAGAATTACGCCATGTCGGCCAAAACTGGTATCCATCTGCAGTGGCAATAATGTTGAATTGGGCACAGGGTGTGGGAAATACCAGAATACGCACCATGGCTATCACTGATCCAGCTGATTTGGTATCATTAGAAGCATGCCAAAGCAGATCAGTGAAAAGTAAATCATGGAAAAATTTTCTATAATAAAACTGGTCAGAGCCTGCTTTAAACACAACAAATAAGCAAAAAGATCTTGATTAAGAAGATCAGCAAGTCTTAAAAAGGAAAAGTCAGAGAAATCACACATAGGCATAATAGTCACAGTGCTGAAAACCAAAGAAAAAGAAAATCATGAAAGCAATCAAAGAAA